TTATCAGTTTCTCTGGTTTGACTATTTAAAGTCATGTGTTTAAGTAAAATGAAAATGTGTGTATTTTATTCTATAAACTACTGACAAAATGTCTCCCTGTTAGAACTCAACAGGCACTGGAATAGAATGGCTGCCATACATGTAGAGATTGAGATTCAGGAACAATTTGGAGTGGTTTCTTCATTTTTTTCCAGAGCTGTATGTTATGTAATTGTCGCTTTATGAAACTCAGTTGTGTGTCGGGGAAAGCAGAGAGCCAGAGGAGCTGTTGGAGAGACTCAGCAACTTTTAAAGCAGAGCACAGAAAACATACAGCTGTAGGGCTCCCATTACAGATACAGGATACAGAACGATAGCAGAAGACAATTGTCTCCAGAGAAACATTTTCCAAAAAAGTTTAGTCCGCTCTAAAACAGCCTGTCAGTGCCGCTTTAGGCGAAAGAGAACATTGTAAAACACAAACTATATAAAAAGTAAAAGGATTTAGTTTGATTCAGTATACAATAGCTGGAACTCTTCATATCTGCATTTTAACACAAACAAAAGTCACTGTTTAAAAATGCAGTTAAATGATGGCACTTGTGAAAGCCAACAATAAAGAGCGTCTCAGAAACCTTATTAATGATGCTGTCAAGGAGTTCTTAATTAATACATCTCCTCTTTTCTATAGCAGATGGAGGTAGCCACCGAGACAGATATGCTAATTTCAGCCCTGCCCCAGAATTTCATGTTCTTAAGAGCTGGCCATGTGTCAACACAGCACCCCGAAAGAGAAAGGACTATAACGGACATTCAACATTCAAATTCACAAGGGTCTTCGGACAAATTACATAATCACTGTCAAAAAACAGACACATTTTTTTTTATTTCCAGGAATCAATAAAATGTCTCCCGAACCATAAAACAGAAACAATTTAAAGTAAAATCAATACTATCTTCTATGATGCAGCGACAAAGTGATTCATGTCCACATCATCAGAGAAAAAGCTTGCACCATCTGAAGTGTTTTTCAAGGCAATGTGTTCGGTTCAACGGGCACAGCCACCTAAGATGATGAATGAAAAGAAAAGTGGAGGAAGGCATGGTAAATGTTGCACCAAATCCACGTGTGCTACTCTATTTTCCTCCACCTGAAACGCCATGGCACAATTGTGCACAAATTGAAAGTGACAGAACCCATGAATTGGTGGTTCATGTGTGCATTATTTGTTTTTTCAGCCTAGTTGATAAACCTTCTTCTGCTGCTATTTGGCACTTTAGGCTGTTGAGGATTCTAGTTATTATGCTTTAAGTCTAAAGTGCGTACACAGTAATAATGTATGCCTTCACTAAGCCTTTCTGGCGAGGAGCCTCAGTCTGCTAAGTGGTGTGCAAATAGAGAAAGTTAATTACCATAATGCCACGTTTCTGGTTGTGGTAAAAGGCACCAAGGACATGGGAACGCAGGAAAAAAGAAAAATGCTCATGTGCTGAGCCAACAGCTGTTTTAAAATGCTATTCACATACAATTGGGATAAAAGCCTCCAAGGGTGTGAACACTTGATGCCCTTCATTATGACTGCATGCTGACAAACCCAATTAGAGTTTGGTTTCAAAGAACTGAAATTGTGTTCAAACCTAATTACTTATATTAATGGCAAATACCTATTAAATATATTAAAGATATAAATATGATCATTAACAAACTTGCCACTTGGATCCAGCTCAAAACAGAACAGTTTTATTTTTATAAATGTTAAGTACTGTTAGTACTTAGGGTTCGAAATCCTCCCGTGAAAGCAGTCAAATTACAATATCCAAATTCTAAGATGTTATCTGGTCTCATATTTATACAGTATTGATATATTTCTAATCCCTAAGTAGTTGCTCAATCATTCTGTCTGTTGTTCAGTTCTGGACAGGTAGCTTAAAGTGGGAGTGTAATGAAACAAATGCAAATAACATCTTACTCCTGCAGTCCCGCCACTGTGACACTAATTAAAGACCTTTTCAGAAATGTGCTTCCTCACTTTTTTAGGGAGGGTAAGATGAGAAGATTCAACACTGTCATAACTTAACCAAGGTAAGCTTGGCCAAGCATAAACACTGTAAGCACAAAATCACAAAAAAAAAAAATTTGCTCACCGCTAAAGTTCATGTTATGTCTTGTTCCTTGCCTGCTGATTTTTTTAACCTTTGTACAGAGCCAGGCTATCTGTTTCCAGTCTTCATGCTGAGATAAATGAACCATCTCCAGCTGTGGCTTTATATTTAAGAGATGAACATTTGATATCATCTAACTCTCAGTGAGGAAGCGAGAAAGTGTTCTTTCCAAAATGTCAACTACTGCTTTTGAAGTGCACACCTTGTTCTATATAGGCTTAAGGAAATATTGGCGATTTCTGTGAACTGTTCAGAAACATGGGTTTGATGGGTATCTGAGTCGACAGAGAAAATCCATATCCATCACAGCAGGGCAAATAAAATCTCATACTTTTCAAAATGGAGAGGCTGCAGAACTCATGCCAAGAGGAAGTATGCAAAGCACAACAACAGCCAGCCATTCATCATTGCTGCAGGTTCAGATAAATACGGTTGTATGTCACACTTTCTCCTCCTATTCAGCCTGCACACCTTTGGTTCTGTGCACGGCTCTGTGTTGTGTGTCCAGTGGAAATGAAACATCCTTGTTACTTTAAAATACACGTTGCCATTTGTTTTAATTTGTCAGTTCGGCTGCACATATGAATGCACCCACAAGAGCGACTAAAATGTACTTTTACCGAGCACGGATAATAAAACATCCTCTCTAGCGACATAGTGCCTCAGACGGCAGGCATATAGTGTATTATTATATTATTATATGATTATTTATTGAACTGACAATTATGAAAAAAGTGCATAGTAGTGTCATTTTTCTTTAAGTTTAAAATCAGACTTCAAAATGGAAGACTCCGCAAATAATTATAATTCCGAATCAACATGAGCAAATCACTCAAAAACTTAGACATTTAAATTTCACCAATACATGACATTAAAACCACTAATGCTGGAACACTATTTATCTGTATCATCAGTCTAGAATAAAATAATTGGGAAAACCTCATTCTTACAATGAATATAGTCTTGAGAATAAATCCTATTATTAAACTGAGGGAAAAAATGTTTGTGACACTATGCTGTCACTATAGCAGAAGTAATGATCCTCTGAGAACAGAGTAAGAAGCAGGTTTCTATACACAATATAATTAGTGCTTATGTTTATTTGGCTTGTGTGCCGTATGGAAGGAAGTGCGGCTGTGTTTCTGCCTCTGAGAGAAAACAGACGCTCTCCTCCTGAGCAGCTGGCTCCTTCTCCACATCAAGGCTGTGATTTCTCCATTCAGGGTCAGCACTGACATCAGGTACTGTATATAGGTGCTGTATATATTGCTGTGATGCGTGTGTAGAGCAATGTATAATCATTACTATTGAATATATATGGGTATATACATGTTTCAGCCTGCCACAAAGTAGAATTGTTTATGCATTATCAATTTAAATGCTTTATACATGAGCCGGAAACTTTGTCTGCTCTGAGTTGGTGGAACACATTTAATAAGCATGCTTGCTTCCCTCTCATTCACCCTCTATTTACCTCTGCATTATTATTCCTGTCACTTCTAATCTGCATTTCTGGCTCTCTGTCTCGAGCTCAGCCACTGTTAGTCCCTGTTGTATAATGGAGCAGCAGGTCCAGAGGGGATTATCTTTACCAGAGAAACACTTGGTTGCTTGATCCAATGCATACAACAATATGTTTACATTTTTATAACAAAAGGGTTGTGGTGGACAGTTGGGCATTTCACACTTTAAAACCTCCAGACCAAAGTGCTGTACAGTCAAATAAACAAACAAAACATACAAAAAAAATCACACAGCACAGCTCACACACCATAAAACAAGTACAAGTAAAAACAATAGACAATTTAAAAGCAATAAAAGAAGCAATCAAAAAGATGTCAATACGCTAAGGAGAAGAGGTGGGTTTTAAGAAGCGATTTAAAAACAGACAGTGGGAGTGTTAATGCAGGTTTAAGACATGTACTTTTATATAATTCTATACAGTATAGTGTCAATTATTATTTAAAGGTGACCTATCATGCAAAATGCACTTTTGTACATCTTTGATACATGAATATGTGTCCCAGGTGTTCTCGCCAAGAGTCAGAAAACACAACCCTCTCTATTTTCCTCCATACCCAAATCTCTAAAAAAGGGGCTGCAACGGATCTGATACAGACTGATCCAGATTTGAACACTTCTATGACGTCACAGAAGTGGCGCTACGGCTATTGGGCCAACTCCACCAATCAGGAGGAGACAGCCACGGACATTGCCGTTCGAAAGCGCTGGAGACGCTGTAGTACATATGCCAGGCCTGTAGATGGTGCTGTTCTCACAGAATCAGCCAATGAAAAGACAGTGTTAAATTGAGCGAAATGAGGAATGGCTAAAATGCATGATCTGTTTGGTATTTTGAAAAATAAAAAGTATAAATATGCCTTATATAGGTATGGTCCTACACTATATTATTCAAATATAGCATGATAGGTCCACTTTAAATACTGGTAACCTGATCAAATTCCGCCAGCGCTTTACTTTGTTGCCTGTAAACGGGAAAAAACTAAACTAGTCCTTCCAAATGTTCTTACAATGGAGCTCAACAAAAACATTATCAAACGTGGATTTACTTATTCACTTTTAAGAAACAGTTTCACCACTTGCAGAACCTAAGATACAACAAATGTCATAATCATAATTCATCTATATTTAAATGCTGATAGATGAAGCATGAGGGGAGGGGAGTTCAAACTTGCATTAACAGGTAGTGGTGTGGGTGTAAGGATGCTCAGCATGAGTGTATGCAGACAGGCTGGGTCTGGTCTGTGACATAGGTTAATGTGGTTAATCGGGGAGGGGTATTCACACACTAAGGAAACACTACCTATAAAAGAGTCAATCGTTTCAAGATATTTCCTTGTCTCTGAGCAGTGTCTGCGATACAGGTAAATACACTTTTTGTTATCCTTTTTTTATGGTTTTATTTATTAAGTTAAGTAAGTTGCAATACAAATACATAGCATTTATGATTCTGTTTTGTTGCGGAAAGATCTAGTAAAGAAGAAAAGGAAGTCATCACTTTCCTACTTGTGAAAAGTATTCCTCTATTTTCACAAACTCTTCAGTATCGAAGTCTCAGTAAGTATTCACACAGAGCTTGTGTTTCCTGTTGTGGTTGTTTATTGTTTTGTTGGTGCAACTTTTACTTTAGTAGAGACTCAGTATTGTTTGTAAACACAGGTTTACTTATTTCAGTTTTAATCTGGACCAAAAGTAGTGATGCAATGCATAAAGCCAAGCAACCAGTTACCACCATTTCCCTAAATGTTGTATTTCTCCTGGCTTTTCTTCTTCAGGGAACAATGAGGATCCATGTTGTCTGTTTGCTGCTGGTGCTGCTCTCGGCCACCGTGCTCTCTCTGGATAAAAAACCCCCAAACCGTTATCAGAAATTCAAAAATCAGCATATCAATAAAGAAATGTGTCCTTGTGAGTGTAATAAAGTAATGCAAGGTAGACAAATCAATGGTATCAAACCAAAACGCTGTAAGAATATCAATACCTTTGTCCTATCCGATGCTGAATCTGTGAAAGCCATCTGTTTGGATCAGGGAGAGCCTTTTCCTGGTAACCTGACCAAAAGTCTTAAACGTTTTGACATTGTTGTCTGTGAATGGGATCAAATGACAACCCCTCCTACCAACTGTTCTTACAATGGTAAAAAACTCAAGAACAAGAACATAATAATCAAATGTGTAAAAGGCTTGCCTGTGCACTATGATCAAGACATTGGTCACTGTGACTGATGGAGCTGATGTGTACTTCTCTTGCTTGCATGACAATGTTTTTGACACATGTTTGTAAAAGGAAACATACCTTTTGTAAAAACATAGTACCTTTTTGTGCTTTTAGTTATGATGAATGTTTCAAAAAAGTTAAAACAATGCTGAAAAATGTGATTCTTAATTTCTCTGGAAACAAAAGCAAATGCCACATTTTATCTCTATGGTGAAGAACTTCAAAGTAATACATATGTGTCAAGCTTTCCTGTTCTTGCTTAAAAAACTGTTTAACCACTTACCTTTGTGTCTGTTTTTATAATTCAGTTTCATGAAATAATCAAAAGTAGTTATGGATATCATTAAAAATAACTATTATGAATAATGGTACTAGCTTAATACGTCAAATACAGCAAATGTTTTGATTCATACAAAAGTAGTTAAGTCCCAATATTGTCCTTCAAATGTTCCAAATGTTACGTTTTTGTAGATTTTTCGTGTACGCATCACTGTTGAGAAGTGATGTGTGCAGTGGTCTGGGAA